AACCTTATATTGAAAAAAATAAGAAATCAAGGAGAAAAACATGTAATTTTGTTGAAAATGAAATTGGGAATAATGAAAGCTTAACCTATAGCAGAAATAAACGAAAAGAACAACCAAGAAGATCATCAGGAGACAGTGTGAAAAGATGTCAGGGTAAAAAGCCAGATTTGAATACTGCATTTCTTGGTTATCCAGAGGAAGACACGGAGCAAATTGATATTTTTAGTAAAGAAAATAGATATAGACGTGTAAGTGGCGGTAACTCAAGAATGCTTTCTTCGTCATTGTGGGAGCAAACTCTGCAAGAAATCGAAGAAATTGAGCGAAATAATAGTGCTGATGAGAAAGTAACTTATAGACGCAAAAGTTGTAAATCTTCAAGAAGGTTATCTGCACGTTTTCAAGAACGAAGTCTGGAAGCAAAGGAAATATTGCAAGGATTAGATGAACCGAATATTCTTCATGAAAAACAGAAGTATCGATACAAAAGTTTGAGTAGTTCTTCAAAAAACTCATTATTATGCTTCCAGGAGCAAAACCAGGAAAATTTGGTGGAGCTTGGTCTTCATGGAAATCAGAAATATGGACACAATAGTTCCAGTGATTCTTTGAAAAGATCATCTGCACGTTTCCATCAGGAGCAAATGCAGGAAGAAAGCGGAACGGAACAAAGGATTTCAAAAAACTCATTATTATGCTTCCAGGAGCAAAACCAGGAAAATTTGGTGGAGCTTGGTCTTCATGGAAATCAGAAATATGGACACAATAGTTCCAGTGATTCTTTGAAAAGATCATCTGCACGTTTCCATCAGGAGCAAATTCAGGAAGAAAGCGGAACGGAACAAAGGATTTCAAATGGAAAACAGGGAAGTTCCAATTATTTGAATAGAACAAAAGGTGAAGAAGATAGTGCAGATGATGATATCAATGAGGGACATAAAGAACACACCAACAATACTTCGCTTGAAAGGTTATCTACAAGTATCTTTGAACAAAACCTAAGAGAAATTGACGAAAATAATACTCTCAATGAAGAAACACAATGCTTTTATGAGCAGCGACAGAAAGACAATAGGAAAAAAAGGCGAAAATCTAGGTACAGCTCCTCAAACTACAAAAATAAGAACGAATACAGTACGAAGTTATGTAATGAAGAGCAAACAGACCATAGCTATCAAAGAAGTGTGAATGAAGGCAGAGGTTTGGAAATAATAAGAAGAAGACGCTCCTATACATCAGGAACCACTAAATCCATTATCGTGAAAGATGACTCTACTGAAGAAATGTTTTATGAAGAGAAATCATATTGTACACCTAGAAGTCAAAATAAAGAATACCACATGATGGATAATGGTAATGATATTTCTCTGGAAGATGAAGAATGCCATATAAATCAAAAACAACCTGGAGAAAAAGTAAACAGTAACATTTCTCACTCAGTGTGTGAAACTGAACCAAATGAAATTATCGAAGAAAAAAATGATACAGAAATATTGCCTCTTAGTGATGATACGTTAGACAATATTGGTTCCAGAACAGTAAGAAGACGTACGAAATCCACCAAAAAAGGGGACAAGAAGGTGCCCTACGATACGAAAAAGTACTACTTGGATAAAAAAATACCGAAATCTTCGAACCTCGAAACTATTTTCGAGAATCCAGAAAACGATATTATCATGAGTAGGAGGAAATATAAAAGGGCTATAAACTTTGATGCCTTCACATCTGTGACGAGGATACGGAAGAGAAGACAAAAAGCGAAGAAAGTCAGTTCGTTCACTTTTAAGAAAGGGGAAAGATCGGCAAAATTGGATGCAATTCTACAAGAGCTGTTTCTGTTAGGTTGACCTTCATTTCTTGTAAATTATTGTTCCTCAATGTATGTAAAAATATACCTACTTGATATTATCGTTTCACAACATTTCATGTCGAGGGATTGAAAGAATCTGCCGATACATTTTTATTTTTCTGGTTGAATAACAATAACTCTTTTCTTTAAACGAATGAAGTGGAACTTTTCATCAAAAACTGCAATGATATCAATTAATAAATTACTTGTGTAAAGTTCAAGCTGAATCAACTTCTCTCCTCAAACGTAATTCTCGCATTTACTTTTTTTATTTTCTTCTTTGTTTTTAGGGTCCCAAAAAAAATTCCAATACCTACCTCCTATTCCTATCTTCTCTAGGTGTTCTTTGAACATTATAGGGATTCCCTCTCGTGCGCTCCAAGCGATAAAAAAAATCTTAACATAAAACGCATTTTCAGGCATTAAAGTCAAGTTTTCTTGTTATGACTTCCTTAATTTACACAGCATTCACTTCGACGTAATTAAATAGGCGTTCAGTTGATTGTAATTGTAGAAAAACTACATTTTTTATTGACTCAGTTGTTGAGATATTGAATGAGGTTGTTGCAAACAATTTTTAATATTCTTCAACCCAAGGTTCCTCAAAACTAGCTCGAGGATATCTGCTTATATTTTTCGTTTGTACAGTATATCCTAATATGCAAAATTAACAGTGAAATTTTAATATGATGAGCAATTCGAAAATAAAGTGCTCAAAAAATCAAGTGGACCACTCGAATTTTCGACGTTTCTTGAAATGCGCCGCGATACCTTTTTGCAAATGAACCGATTTTCAATGGGAATGCATCCCATATAGCATAATTTCATTTATAGGATGAATAATCTCAGAATATTCTCACAATGTGATACAAATGGAAATGGACTGTTTTAAATATTCTCAGAATATTTCTAGTATATTGAACTAGAAGGAAGAATATTAAAGAAAGCTTGCTCCGGTGGAGATGCGAACCTATAATATCTTATGATTGCATTTTTACGAACCCACTTCGCCACGAACCTTATTGATAAATAAAATAAATAGCAAGATGACAACACTGTATCAGTGGGATAATCAGCATTGAGGCTTGAGAATAATAGGTTGTATCAGGGTAAACATTAATATTGATGAAAGAATAGGAACAATTATCATATATTTTGATAAGATTTTCAATATTCTCAGAATATTCAAAATGAAAATTTTCAGAATATTCAAGAAGAATATTTTCAGAATATTTAAAAAGAATATTTTCAGAATATCCAAAAATAATATTCTGAAAATATCTCAAATATAATGTTTATAGAATATTGTTTGCAGAATGAGAATATTCTATGATCATTCTGAGAACATTCTATAAGAATATTCTAAAATAAGTTTTCAACATTGTCAGAATATTCATAGAATATTCTGTGCTGTCTGGGAGTATTCAAGAGATGCGTCCAGTTTGTTTAGGATTCATTGTTCGAAACTGTTCGAAGTTTTCCAGTTATGAAATACCAAGTGGTCAAAAAGAGTGTTACATAAGCATAAGAGTTTAAGAGCTCCCGTATTCCCCAGAAATTTTTTCATCATTCTCCAAAACAATTTTCTCAAATCTTCAAGTCAATATCTCGAAATAGTTTTGGAATTTCTGACCATCCTATTGCAGGATGTGAAATATCGATATTTTTCGATATTTTGTATTTCTATGCATTTCTGTGGATTTAAAAAAGTTCAGGCGATGTTCAAACCGTACTGCACTGTAATACGATTGAATTCATTCCTGTTGAAGTTATCCACCTGGCTTTAAGAGCAGCAGAACTTTCGGCAACAACAAAATGAGTATTTTCGAATAATGTGTCCCAGGCAACCAGATGACGAATTGGTGATTTTTCGTCAGAGACGTCACACACCAATTTATGACGTCACTATGACGTACTTTCCATGACGGGATAATCACGTCATCGTTTCGACGTCGACTGAACTTCACTCAGATGGGTAAAAGAAGACGTCTTCCTGGTCGGTCGTCCGGCCGTACCTCCGAGTAGAGATCATACATTGTATGTAAAATATATCTTTGCTCAGAGTATCGTCGAAGTGTCCTCAAATGTTTCCCGCGGTGGAGGCATACAATAATATTATTTATTACCGCTACAATCGTGTTATAACTCTTACTTATTCAGATTATTCAACTGAAATTCATAAAGCGTCAACAGTAATTCAGAATAATCAATTGAAATTCAGAAAGTGGCAATTGAAATTCAGAAAGTGTCATTTGTAATTCAGAATGTGTCATTTTAAATTCATAACGGGTCAATTGTAAATCAGACTACCTCATTTGTAATTCAGATTAGTTAATTGAAATTTAGAAAGCGTCATTTGAAATTCAGATTCGTCAATTGAAATTCAGGAAATATCAATTGTAATTCAGATTAGTCAATTGAAGTTCAGAAAGCTTTATTCGTAATTCGGAAATATGGAACAGTATTACCTTCGCTCGTTAAGCAAGCTAGCAAGCATAATGTAAGAAATTACAAAGCATTATTTTTTTCGGAAATTGCGATTTTGTTTTATAACTTCTTCATTTGAACTATTTAAATTAATGTTAATCAACCATCAATGGAAATAATTTATAATCGAATAAGTCGCTGGTTCTACATGGATACCTTCTCGGATACCTACCTACAATACATCAGTCTGAATTACAATTGAAACATTCTCAATTATAATTGACGAAATCTGAATTTCAATTGACGCTTTCTGATTTTCATTTGACTAATCTGAATTACAATTGAATTTTTCTGAATTTCCTTTGTCTAATCCGAATTACAATTGTTATTTCATGATTTTCAAGTTACATATCTGAATTACAAATAACGTAGTCTGAATTACAATTGTTGCATTCTGAATTACAATTGTTGCATTCTGAATTACAAATGACGATATCTGAATTTCAATTGAAGCTTTCTAAATTCCGAACGGAAAATCTGATATACAATTGAAGTTTTCTGAATTTCATTTGATAGCTCTGAATTACAATTGACGCTTTCTGAATCATAATTGAAAAAGGTATAGTTCAATGAAGTCGCTAATATTTCATTTCGTAACTTGGCGTATTTCTATGCCTTTATCCCTGGTTCATCGTTAATACCCCAGTCGGTTTCATTGTTTTAGGTGGTTCTCTACTGACATTCTTGAGGAAAAAATCGTCCAACCTCACGGAAGCTCAACTGATGAAAATGTGTCTGGATGCGGCAGCCGGTATGAGGTATTTGGAGTCGAAGAACTGCATTCACAGAGATTTGGCAGCTCGTAACTGTCTAGTAGGTAAGACATCCAAGAGAACAACGATAGTTATTGTGTGATCCTTCACACTTTACTAAACTGAACTTCAATAGGTTATAGTAATCATCAACTGAAAAAAGGTGTGTTGATACGTCGTTTTCCCTATTCAGGATGTTGAACTATTTGAAGAAAAGGTACATAACATACTAAACGTTTTGAATAGATTCATGATTATACTTTAATTCGCTATAAGTAACATCAGATTTCCAATACCTATTCATGAAAGCTGACGTTACCCAGACATCTGGGAAAATCTGCAAGGTCTCAGACAGGCTAAGATACTGCTGAGTACATATAACCACAAAAGATAGAACGCATATGTGAGTCTAAGTAAAAATAAAAACGGTATACTGACGGGAGTCCTAACAGGGCACTGCCGGTTGAAAGGACATCTCAGGAAGCTCAGCTTAGAAGAGGAAGAACACTGTAGAACTTTCTTTTATTTTATTCAGACCAGGGAAGAGTCCCTCTTATCCTGATATCTATTATGGAACAAAATAAAAACGGTATTGAAGTTTGATGCGAACAGCCCTTCTGCCCCAAATAAGTTTCAGAAATACATTCTAAGAATTGAAAGAGATCGAACGGAAAAAATAAAGATCAAAAACTTGAGAATAGTAAATTTGGTCATAATGTCGATATTTTCTCTAGTTTATGGACAATCTCGATCTTTTGAACTTCGATTGATCACCTGGGTCATAATCAACTGCATTTCGAAGAAGCTGAATCTCATGAACCTCAGCTTTTTCGAAAGTCTTGATGTTTCGTTCTTTAATGACTGACACGATTGAAGGGAGTTTCAGATCCCTGGCGATCTGGTTATTCCGAACATACCAAGGAGATCCTGTCACCATTCTCGCGACTTTCTTTTGTAATGTTTGTAATCTGGTGATATGAGATTTAGCTGTGTGGCCCCAGACTACTGAACACTGTAGAACGATTTACCACAAAGCTGAGCAACAAAAAATAACAGAACAGTGAATACATGGGTACTGAGCTCAAAGAAGAAGCCATAAAGTAGTATATTACACAATTACAAAACCGAAGATGATGATAGCCTTGGCAAATTCCCAAGCACATTACAGGCGGAAGTTCACGCTTTGGGGATATGTGTACAGTTCAATCTATAAAGAAGGTCTAAAAGGGCAGATAGCTCTATGGTTAAAATGGTTTGGGAAGGCCGGAAAAATCTGAACGAGCTAGCCAGACAGAAATACAGTTACCCTTCCATGGGATCCGGAACATTCCAGTGTAGATAATAGAAAAGAATGAATTTCATTCAACTACATTATACTTCATATTTTACACAAAGAGAAATGAAGTTGCGGACAAACTCGCTTAGAAATGAACTCAAACACCCTTTGTGGTGCCAGAATCCTTCTGCAGGATCACCAGCAGTACTGTATCAGAAATAAAAAATAGGAAAGAAGTGGCTGATCATCAGTCATGTGGACAAACATTCAAGGCATCAGACAGGCTAATAGATGTGTTGCCCTACTGAACCCAAGGACAAGAAACTTAGGAGCACACATAATAGAGGAGGAAGAGGTATTCTACATGGAACCATCTCTTATCCTGAAATTTCTGAGGGATATAGGATTAGAGAAATTGCTTTAGCTACGGCGATTAACCTCCTTGGAAAAGGCAAAAGAAAGGGGCACAAAAGATCTTTCAGGTTGCAGTGTATTAACCCCTTATGCATACAAAACAATACAACGTAACCTCAAATTGGAGCAATTTTTATTATATTAGGTATTTCGGAATGCTGTCAAAATCAGATTCAAGATGGTTGCTGTACCCAAACAAATAGCTGTCATTCCGTGACTTTTTTAACCATATTTTCAATTGGATTTAAAATGTGTTAAATGCTGCTTTCTTCGCTTCTTTAGTTGATAATTGAACTTTATATACTTAGTTTTATTAGGATTGCATCATCTTTATGAAAATTATTGAATAGTTGATGTGTATTTCTTTGGTGTATTCTGGACACTATTTGGATAGGTTTTGCTTGGTGTTTGTGTTATAACAATGTTTTATTGTGGAATAATCAATTGTAAGAGTCGGTAATATCGTGATAGCATGAAGTTTCATCGAATCCTGAGTGTCTTGAAATTTAGACATAAATTGGAACAATGAATTATCAAAAGAAGAGACAAGTGGATGAATAGAAATGGTTTGATGGAGCAGAAACTCAAAATGTTGAGAGTTCGCAGCAAACATTTCCTACCTACGTGGTGAGTTCACTGAAACAGGTAATGAATAGTACTAAATATAATAGGTATAATGGAAATTTTAGGGAAAGCTGCATATCTATCAGATGTTGATAATCCTAACTGGGCTCCCAGTTTATTTTTGGGATATGATAGCTTAGCCTCTGACAACCAATCTAAGGAAACTATCAATGATATGGAAACATCAGAATGCCAAGGTGAGGCTGCAGGACCATCTGATTTCAAACAGGCTGCAGGGTCATCTAATGAACAGGCTGTAGGATCATCAGATTTTCAAGATGAGAACCTTAGTATAGTTCCTGCTGAATGCTGAATGTGATAAATATTCACAAACAAATATCACAGCTGTCAGCCTAGTGCTGATCTAATTATAATTTGATAGGAATCACCCCACAAGAAACAGTGTGTTTGATCAGTGAGGCTTGTGGAGAAAGAGCATCTGATTATCCCATAACAATCAATTCAAAATTAATAGATAATATTATTCCAGGTGAGTTTCTGTACAGACTTTCAATCTATTTATGTATGTCTACTGTTCTAACAATCTTCCTGAACTCATCTGAATTTCAAACAGTATCTATCCAACTTTCAATTAATACAAATTCAATTTGTAGGTGATTTGATTTTAGGTGACCATGGCTTTTTGGTTGGTGACTATGTACAAATTTTAAATGCCCAAGTGAAGATTCAAGCTTTTACAAAAGGAAAGAAACAATTACATCTTACTGAGATTGTGGGAACTAGAGCTACTGCCAATGTGAGAATTCATGTGGAGTGAATTATTGGTGCAATGAAACAGAAGTACAGGATATTAGCTGATCAACATGGCAATTTCACTTATAATGTGGTGATGATCAAACTCTCCACAAAATCATTACAATTTGCTGTGCAAATATCAACATATGTCCCCCAATTGTTCAATTGGACTGAATATTATTATTATCTTCTTGATTGATGAAGATATATAGTAATAGAGTTGTTATGCAATATAGACAAATCTTTGATAAGTAGGAATCAAATATATACAGCATATCTCACTTTGAAAGCCCCTTCCTATATATCCCTCAACTGGTATCTCTCAATATCTTGATTTTTATGAAATCATATTAGGAATATTTTGGCATAAAAACTAACTTCATATTGTTCCTCATGCTTCCAAACCTCTATATTGTGCAAAAAATCACCACATTTCAAATTGACAGGATTGGCTTAATTTTTTTTTATTTTCAGCATGGAGAAAATAGTGAATTCAAACTGCTAATCATGATTTAAAAAATAAGATATGTTGAAGTCACCATTTCAGAGTAAATAATGATAAGATTACATTTGCAAAATTGCTATTTAGATATGCCTGTTTTTGAATTTTGAACAAAACTGGTTTGCTCACTCACAACTCACCTAAATAATAAATCATGATAAGTAGTAGATATTTGGGAACACAGGAGAAGAAATACTCAGTTTTTTTCAAAAACACAAATGAACAAGATTGAAATTTATTATATATTGTTGTAAGAGATTTTTCTTTGTGCCAACACTTTTGTTTGGTCAATTTTCACGAACTTTTCATGAAACATCAATGAACAGTGGATGTTAATTCATAATCAAATTGTTGATAAAAATATTCCTTGTGTTAAGACTGATGAGTATTGATTAAAAAAATCTGAATTACCTACTATGTTATATATTGAGTTAATGTGATAAATATTTTGTGTATGAATGATAGGTACTCATTATGATAGCATATGTTTGTAATTATTAACAAGTATTTTGTGTGATGATGATATCTATAGATACTTCGAACTGTGATGATTGTCAAAATTTCTAAATTGAAAATTCAAGAAGAATTATTGATGAACTAGGTTGATCTGTTTTTCAATGAATTGTTGGTCAATACAGCAAACTTTAACAAGACATTTAAATGTTCAAGATAATTCACAAAAATGACTTGGTGGACTTTCTGGAAACACATTCTGTTGACTATATAATTATTATTACAGGTATTACATTGAAATGTGTTTGAGAAAACTATAGTGAAGATGAATAAAATCATGAAGCAATGTGTAGTGTTTTAATGAATTATAAGGTTGAAAGAAACTATTTATAATATAGCTTAATTTTTATTTGAAGAATAATTGATTTCATCAATAGTGTAGATATTTGGGGGCATTGTGTCAATATCTTATTTGTGAATGTTCATATTTGTCTAGTAGTTAAGAACAAAGTGAATATTTTTGACATAAAGGACCCCGCACGGTTCTTATGGAAAATGGTTCCCAGTCGAATTGGCTCAAAATTTGGTGAAATGTAGTTCATGATGTCCTGATCAAATGTCTCCATGGTCACACTAAGATCTAATGGACAGTTTTTTAAATACAAGGGGTTAAACATGCGGAGGCAGGTTGTTACTTACCTTTAGAAAATCAGTTATGTGGCGATTACTTTGTTACAAAGAGTCAAGGATAACAAATTATAATCTTGATATTGTCGACACGAGTTGTAATGAAAAGTTATCAGATTCCGTATACAGGGATATTCGTTTTCTAGGTAGGTACTCTAGCCGCCAATATTGATTTTTATATAATTCTTTGACCAAACTCAGTCAAACGCAAAAGCTTGTAGAATGAGTAAATATCATTTGTTCTCAATATTGGGTGATCTGAGGTGACTATTATACAGGGTCACTCAAAATTATTTCTTTTTGTTGTATTCATTTATATGTAATAAGAGGAGAATTCCTTCAGTCATTCTTAC